AGTGGGCATTATTATTATTCACACTTTGGACATCAGGAAACTGACAGAAACTAAGCCCACCAATTATTGTCCAGGCTCACCAGCCGGCAATGCTTCCCCTGCATCGTATTCATCATATTTCATTGTAATGCTTCAATATCTGTCTTCTTCACTGGACAACATGGGTCAATGTCTTGCGCGTTCTCTGTTGAATCCATAGCCTCAAGCACAGTGCTTGGCTAGGTGCACTCTAGAGAAGGGAGGGAGGAAAGTTGCTGTCCCTTCCTCTCATGTGACTTTATTTTTAAAGCACACAGCACTGATACAGGTCAACACAAGAACAGACAAATGAAAATGCATTCTGAACAACCACTAAAATAAAAGCATCCCACTCTTTTTTTCAATCATCCTCTATTTGTTGAGTTTCTGCCTTTTCCTAAGCACTGGACTAGGTGTTGGGGTACAGTGGTGAGCAAAGAGTGTTGACCTCTGTCATCATGGAATTTACAGTGACTGGAGAGACAGAAATTAACCATCTCATCCACTCACAGATGTCAGACTGTGTGTGGGACCGTGCCACAAAGAGGAGGTGCACAGTCCAGGAGAGTCTATGACAGGGAGATGTGACTTGGTTGGAAAGGTCAAATGAGCTGAGAATTTAAAGTGAACAAGGGCCGGGCATGGTGTCTCATGCTTGTGATCCCAGGATTTTGGGAGGCCGAGGTGGGTGGATCACCTGAGGTGAGGAGTTCAAGACCAGCCTGGCCAACATGGTGAAACCCCAACTTTACTATAAAAAAAAATTAGCCAGGTGTGGTGGTGGGTGCCTGTAATCCCAGCTACTCGGGAGGCTAAGGCAGGAGAATCACTTGAACCTGGGAAGCAGAGGTTGCAATGAGCTGAGATTGTGCCATTGCACTCCATCCTGGGCAACAAGATTGAGACTCCGTCTCAATAAATAAATAAAATAAATAAATAAAGTGAGCAAGACTTATCTAGAAAAAAGAGGACGGAACATCCCATGCAGGGGGAATAGTGCAAGCAGAAACTTTTGGGAAGAGGGAGCTTGGACACTTCTAATGGCTGAAGAGGTCAATGGGTTGGGAGATGCAGCCAGACAGTGCAGGATCACAGGCAGGTTCAGGAATTTTGTCTTCGTTTTGACAGCAATGGGATTGTAAGCAGGAGATGACATGACTTATGTTTTGTAGAGGTTACTATGGTGGCAGTGTGGAGAATGCATTGATGGGGAGGGGCTGAGTGGATCCAACGTGGACCTTATAGATTTATATATGTGCTGCTTCAAAGTGTTTATCCCCATGGGATTCACGTTGAAGGAAAATTCCTTTGACAAAGCTCATCTGCGGTGACAAGGAGGACCCTTGGACATCTCAAGGAGATGCCACTTATTGGGGAGGGTATGTGGCTGGCACTATGTTCAACTGGCCTCCTCCGCACTCTGTGAGGAGCTGTGACTGGACTGAGTGTGTGCGTGGGATTTGGGGATTTTCTGGTGACTGGCAGGAAGACCTGCAGGGTCACTATTCTAGCTACTAAACAAGCTGCAATAGCCTACTACCCTTTGACATTCTGCCCAGAACCCAGGGCACCTTCAACCAGTTTTTGATGGATCTCTTGTTCATTTGCAGATAGCTGGGGAGACGCAGGGGCTGGGCAACTGTGCATTCAAGGAGCACACTAACCTACCACAATTGGGACATGAAAACATGGCCATTTATAATTTAAGTATTTAAATGTCCCAACCAAGAGGAACAACCCCTGAAACTACTCCTGGCCAAGGGGTCAGCATGGACCCTTCTAGAGCCTACTGGGGACAAAGGATCTGCCAGAGACAAAAATTCTTCTTCTCCTGGGGACAAAGTGGGCTGCCAGGGGAGTGAGCTCTGAGGGCTTCACTCTAATCTTGTCTCTTACATCAACTTGCTTTGTTTTCTTGGGGTAGTCTCATGACCTCTTAGCCTGAATTTCTTCAACTGTAAATTGAAGGGTCTAAACAAAATAATTTATTTTAGTTCCAAAGTTCTGAAATTCTTTATTTAGAAATTCTAGGTGGGATGGGGTGGCTTTCAGTCACTAAGAGATCTGTTTTATCCAAATAGCCCAGCCCTGGTCAGTGTGGCTATGAGGAGCAGGGCAATAAAATGCTGGTACATTCCAATGGTGAGCAACTGGGACCCTTGGATACTCTAAGGCCTTTGATCTTCACTGTACATGCCAGTGGATCTTTTCCCTTACTTAATTCCACAGTCTTTGTTTTTTTACCCTCACTAATAGTTGTGTCTATCCTGTGGATCAGGAAACTGACAGAAACTAAGCCCACCAATTCCATTTTTTTTTTTTTTTTTTTGAGACCACTCGTGTCGCCCAAGCTGGAGTGCAGTGCACGATCTCGGCTCACTGCAACCTCCGCCTCCGGGGGGTTCAAGCGTATTCTCCTGACTCGCACCTCCCGAGTAGCTGGGACTACCAGGTGCGTGCCACCACACTCCCGCGATTGATTTTTATTAGTTAGAGAAAGGGTTTCACCATCTGTTAGCCAGGATGGTCTTCGATCTACTGACCGGTCGTGATCCACGCGCCTCGGCCTCCGAAGTGCTGCGGATTATCAGGCGTGAGCCACCGGCGCCAACTCTGTGGCGCATTCTTACTAAACTGAAACTTCAATATATGTTCCTGCCACCATTAGTTTCTCCCCTTTCAAGTGCTTCTTCTTTTAAACTGCATGCAGAGCGTACGCTGTTGTTTAAAAGCTGTTTCCCTTCCCAAACTCACAGGGTACAAAGGATTTAAAGGCAACTGTTCCATGACCTTCATTGACTCAGTTAAAAGCACTACCACCAGTGGGAACAAGTATTGCAAAATGCTGGAC